AATGCTGTCCAATAGAGTAATATGATCAATACTTAAAGTCCATGAGCTATACGAAGGAGGGGAGAGGGGGAAGGTTGGGACTTACTCTCCAACGAAGGAGTTAAACGTAAGTCTTGAAGTAGGCAAATATCGTAACTTCAATGAGCGTATTAGAAGAACTAGAGGCACCAAGCTAGCGCTAGCGTAAATATGGACGGTTTATAACATATCGACTCATTTAACAGTATTTTGGTATGAAACACATTTTCTTCATGTAAAACAAATCATCACTGAATAGACAATTCAGTACTGACGCTTAGATGAGGCACCGTTACGTGGAGGAACCTTATTAAGAGGTGTTTTATCTAATGGGTGCAACTCGAAGCAATAACGAAACCTTCACGACGTGAATATAAGGTTGATCATCTCGGTATCAATCCACCTCGAGAAAGCCGAAAGCGCTAAAGCAGTAAATGAACGAATTTTCGCAATAAGCTTAGGTAAAATTTTCGAACCAAAAACATTGGGTCTTCTCATAACTATCGTCACTAGAGCAATAAACATCCAATTTATTAACCAGAAGTGAAAAAATTACTTAACAAAGCTATTCAAAGTACGCCCCATCTGTTCTGCCATCTCTCAGGCAATCAATCTATACCGCTTTAGACAGAATTTTCTGAGCTTTGCATTGGTACCAAATTTGATACTTGCCGCACCATAGCCCCGCAATAAAGGATTACAGTATGGTGTCGAAAGTGCAAGGAGAGTGCTGTCAGCGAAATTGTTCGTCGCTCTGGTATTCAACTAAAATATCACGGAATTGCTGCAACAAGGAAGTGTTGCAGCGAAGAACCGCTTAGTCAACACTATTCAGGAGCTGTAAAAATCATAACACAGGCAATTATTCTAAAGCGCCGACGGTGCTATAGATTTTTCATCTACGAAACGGACAAAGCAGAATTTATTTGGCACCGAGTCGAATTAATATCACAAACATAATTATAACAAGGGGGCTATTATCCATATGTAGTGCTTCCACCGCTAACGTAATTCGGGACAAGAAATAAACGAAGTGTTTTCCTAAACAATTTTCAATCTGCTTGAACAGGAACTGCCTGATCTGCAAACACTTCTCAAAACCCGATATCCATGCCATCACATGCTGCATAGCAATTTTGCTAACTGAGGTGCGAATCTACTGGGATCCACCAGTAAAAGGATCGAATGGTGTTGTATGCAGTTCCGCGCATTTCATTCTAGTAAAATCCGCTAACAGAAAGTGTTATTTCTGTCATAAGATGCTGAAGAAGTTCAAAATATAAAGCAGTACTTAGATCTTCCTAGCCACTTACTATGGGAAAGCAACATTCAAATTTTCTGTAATGACTTTTCTCAAAGGTATGTAGTAAAGCGAGAAATCAGACAAACTGTTACATTATTTACGGAAGTGGAGTTGATTTCATCTTATGAAAAGTGCAACAACAAATTTTTTATTGCATATTGTAAGGCAGCTGCGTAGAATCGGGAGCGCTCCATAGGCAATCACCTTTATTAAAAAATTGGAGCGCCCTAAAAAGGCGACTGAGGAAGCCCTGCTAAGTTTTAGTCTTGTCGCGTTCTTTGAGCGTCTATTTTCTTTCTGTTTTTAGTGAGGTGGCAACAGAAAAGCAGCACCACTCTCCTATCTCACAACAGCATTTGATACCGCAGTAGCCTTTCTGAAGCCAATTCTTGAGAAGTTTTTTTTCGTTCCCTACTTACTAGATTCTGAGAGCCACTTTGCGGCGATTCCAATGTTTAGTCCTGCGGTAAAGTTTTGAGGATTTTTATCTTTTAGGTAACAGACACCGGCCCCATCAATAACAGCGCATAGCAAAACTACCATAACGAATGTGATTTGCACTGCCTTGCAATTTGTTACCAAAACCTTCTTTACTAAGAATTCGGAATCGCTTTTGTCAATCGATATCTTCTTCTACATATATTATTTTGAAAGTGCACTTTCTACGGCCACGCTTTGCCAGTTTCGAATGCTCTAAATTTTATAGAATGTCGGGATTTATGGCTTAGAAATGCAGATGAAATCATGGGTTCACATCTTTTGTTTCCTGTATATTAATAGTAAAAGCGCACAACGGGTGTGAAACACAAATTTATTTTTGATGCTACAGCGCTACAATAAGGTCTTTTCCAACACGAGCCTGTAGCGCAGTACCCACAGATCTGAGCGCATGCTTGGTAATGCTCTTATAAGAAACGTTCGAACAGCAAATGGGGTCATTTGTTCATTTGTTTGCTTTTGACACAAAAGAACTCAACATCTGTTTAGGCCATGAACATCATCATGGCAAACTGGTCAACACAGATGTGGCAGGGTGTCGTGAACAGAGCGGTGCGAATGCTGACAATCGGTCCGTTCCGATCACACTTTGTCTCGGCAGTTGCAACCGTCGGCTAATGCACCAACTCAATGCGAAGTGCTAGAAATAAACTGTGTATCTGTCGGACTGTCTACTTCAGTTTTAGACAATCAATAGGCCACTGCTTAATATGTGGATAGATATATGATTAAAATGTCAGTGTAAAATGCGGTGGAGCACATGTGCTGCACTTGCATATCGACTGAACTTTGAATTGAAGAAGTTTGCAACTGAAAAAATGCTCATTTTTGTCTGATAGAATGTTTTGAGCCTTTCATGATGTCTGGTATGGACCCTCTAATGCTAGACATGATTTCGGCTTTCTCGCAAGCTCATCAACTAGCACATGATAATCGATTCACTCCCATTGTCACGGTAAACCAACGCCGATGAAGCATCACTCCACGTCAAGTAAAATAATCACTGCTGTTACGTTCCTTCAGAATGATTGATTGCCGATTGCATGGCGTACGGTTGTTACGTGGTATATGTTGCGACACCTTTCAATCGAGTTTTTCGAAACCTCAGTTCAAATTTCATGCAGCCTGATAGAACGTTTTTCTCTTTCATGAAACATGGTATGGCACCTTTAGCGCTAGACGTACATTTCGGCTTTCACGCAAGCTCCATTTTTGTTTGGATACTCTCAATCATACAGGAGATTTTTATTGACTATTCATGTCGAAGTTCTAGAAGAGTCGGTTTCAAATTTTCAAAATGTTTCGAGATATAATTTGACAACGTATTTTTGAGCCTTTCATGAGGTTTGTTATGCACTTAGACAGTACAAGCCATGCGTTTGGGCCTTACGGCCTCCTCATTTGCATGATGTCTTTTCGTTCAGTCAGCTCTTGAGAATCTGCCCTTACATAAAGAAATTGACGACGAACTTTTTTACACTTGACGCATGTTGAAACATTCACTGTGGCTCTCTTCGAGAGAAAGGCTTAAAAATACATTGTCAGGTTATATTGATCTAAATGAGGTCTCAAAATAAAACAATAAAGGATAAAGCTCTCGGCGTTGATCAATCTCTAAGGGATGCGTCATGCATTCGGCTTCAACTTTTAACTTCGTTTGATGTGATTGAATGCATGTCAGGCCTTTACAATGACTCGCGGTGGACCACCGCTGCATCGAATCAGTGCCGTTTATCCAGCCAGACAGGTCTAAGACAGTCTCGAACCATTTTACTGACCCGGAAAGGATGGATGGCTCGGTGAACCATAAGCGCGAGATCGAACCATCGCCCCCGTGTGCGACGCAGAGCACCTCTCACTATTGCTCCACATTCGCACTGCTCTCCAAATAGCTGATTGCAATGTCTGTTGTTGATATCTGTGAGCAGTACTGACTATTTCAATTAATAACAAGAGTTAACTACTAAAATTTTGATGCACGATCTACACGAATGCTAGTTTCTCTCGTTATTCACAACTTCGTAGACATCATGGGCAACATTTATTGTTATTGAGGTTTAATAAAGCATATACACTCAGATAAAGAAGCTGAAATCAATGATACTTTTCATGACTTTTGCTCGTGATTGTGGTAAAATTATTTAATTCTCTTATTACATTATTATTAATTTATCCTTAGCTCTCCTGACTGACTTAATGAGTAGGCCAACTATAATCAGTGGAAACACTTCAGTCGCCGTGCTGTCATTTAGCTACCGTAACAGTGGTTTATCTACCTCAAATTCTCAAAAGTCGCAGTTTTACAGAATTTTTCTTCTGCTGTGAATTGGTATATGATTTTTTCATGCAACGTGATTCGCCAAAAGTAAAATGTGCAGAAAAACCTCATCATAGTCAGCCTTTGGGAAAATCAGTCGCTCCGCACAAGTGCAAGTGCCTTCGTATATATAATTGTTGTTTGTTACGAGAGACTGCCGTACAGTTTTGATAGTATCCTGAATAGAACTTTTTATATTATACATAAGTCATGTGTAATGACCATTAGGATTCTTATTCTCAAAACAATTCTGTGGGCAATTAAGAATTGTGATCATATTCACAATCGAATTGGGATCGCGCCTTTTTGTGATTCCTTGGCTTCCTGACTTTAGTGACTTAGTGATATACAGTGGTCGCTAATCGTGTCAAAATTCGCCAAAGTGCTTTGAAATAAAATGGAGACTAAAGATCAAATGATATTCGTTTTATTTACCCGGTTATGGCGGTGGTATGATGTTTCAAATATATACCCATTGATGTAGAGCAATGTGCAGAACTTTCGCGTCAGGCGGAACTAGTACCCGCACCTCACTCTTTCCGGGAATGCGTGCTCTATCCGTTACACTACCGACACGCATTTTGCACATCGCTCTTTCTACATTTTCTAAAATGGAGAATATTTGACTGTCGTCACAATAGAGTTGAAATCACGAAATTTATGTCATTTTATGTCATTTATAATATCATACCACTGCAAGTGGCAGTCAAAATAGAAAGAATTTAGACTGATTATCGATATCCAATGTCTGCCAGCACAAGTGGGTTCAATGTCGATAGCGGCTGTCCCGCCCGCCAGACCGTCGACGGTTGGCTGTTGGCAGAAAACGCGTTATAGCATAAATAAGAGTGCTGTGCAGAACGAGCGTCGGTAGTGCAATGGTTAGCATACGCCACCGCCAAGAGTGAGATCTAGGTTCGAATCCCTGCCGACGCAAACGTTTTTGCACAGCACTCCACATATTGGGTGTATCATTTTAGTTTTCTTGCTACACTTCAGTCAAACGATCTTTTTAGTACTGAACACAGCATTGGAATCAGCGAAACTAAGGTGATCGAATGGTTACTAATCCTTGAGCGAGAAGCTCTGCGCTGCAAATTGTGTGCGTCTGTGGAACACAAACGTTTTCCTTCTGCGTTGTTCTTCTGCCCTTCAGTTTTAAGTGCCAAATTAGTCGTTTCTTTGTCAACAACTGATTCAATACAGAGAAAAATTGTTTCAGTCGAGTCTACAACGTTTGGCGTGCCTTTCGCTTGTTACCAATGAGTAGGCTTATGGACATAACATCGCTTCCCATCGTTGTGATCTCACTGTCAGCCACATCCTCTACAGCGTTAGGATGTGGAAACGTCGCCGTAAAGTCAAGGCAATAGTAAAAAATTGCTATGATTCTACGAAAATTTGCGATTTTGATTATAAAGTATACGATTTTGATCGGAGGCTAGATCTGACACTTCATCAGCGCAACAAATTCACAGAACCTACTATCTATTAGCGTCGACACTGATTGAGTTAGTCAGTATGCACCAGACGATAGGTCTAACGATAGTCCAGTTCATCTTGTCATTTATCTCAATGAAGTAAGCACAGTCTAAGAAAATGCCTTAAATCTTTTAGAGGTTGGTACACCAGTTGGTTACGTTTTTTCGGCGGTCTCGCTTGCTTTTTCAGAGCTATGTGTCTATTTATCTCTACTAGTAGCAACGGTGGTCACACATAGATCAGTCCAGATAACGTGGAATTTAGATTATGCAGAAAGTTCTGCGAAATTCTTGGAAGTTTTGTTTTTTGGCATCTTGGCATTTCCTTTAACGGCAATTTTGTACAAATTTGCTTAGTTCATCAAGTTAAGCTCCAAATTGCCTATTGAACACTATGATTTGCGTGCGCTGATCCGCCATTGTCGCAGAAAAAGTTCGTGCCATCAATGCCTAGCTCTATTGCCAACAGTTACATCGCGTCTACGACTGGTCGGTGATGAAGTATCCAAGACTGGTCCGACAAAAGCGCGCTATGTTTCAATAGGACAATGTCACAATGCTGAGTCACATATAGCCAAGAAGACTAAGGACAAGTTTGAATAGGTGTCGAAGTTCTTCTGCTTCCCTCCTACACTTTAGACCTTGGTCCATTCGATTATGGCCTCCTTCAGTCAATTCAACACTTTTCTAATGCCCGTCGAGTTTTCAACTTCTAACATCATTCCGCTAAGACGCACTTTGGACATACACTGCCTTCAATATTCTTGTCGAAATCATATCACTTCGAATAAATTTGTTGATTTTCTTATGTGAAAAGAGAATTCTAAGTTCATGCGTATTCCGCCATTTTTTTTAGCTGTTGTACATGTAAAATACGTGTAAAATTCTTGAACTCCTATTTCCGTTGTTTCTGAAGAATAATCAGTCTAGAGCATGATTAGTGGGCAGGAAGTAGTAAGTGATGCGTTCAATACCTCAGCAAATCCATAAAGATATGCTAAGATTCGCTTTCAAAGCAAAAATGCTGGTGAGTGCATGCATTGATAAATTAGAAGTATTCACGGTAATTACCTCTAATTTCCATAGAACCTCGATTCGATTAGCAATCAACATTCGTGACAAAGGAATGGATCTTCAGCATCAGTCGACGTTAAAAGCCTTCCCATAGATTGTCGTAGATGACGGGGTGATGCTATATTATCAAGAAAATGACTGGAAGAGGATTCACGAGCCGTCCAGCTTAACTCTTGTAAAAGTTGTCATTGTATACACATTACAAACACAACGACATAGATCACCTGTATGACCTGTCGCCCCGTTGATCGTTGAGTGGCTCAAGCGGGTACCAGTAACACTTTAATTTTTCTCTATCGCTTGCAGCAGTAGCCCAGTGGGTCCTCCTCGCTCTAGGGGTTCCCTGAGCATCATCTCGTCTTCCATAGCTTTCGTGAAGTATTCGGGCCCCCTTGAGAAATTCGCCCGGTTAGTCGCGAGGGTACGTGGCGCGTCCCCAGGCGGTGGATAGGGGGATATTACTCGAACCAAAAGCGACCGTGTGCTTTCCAGAGACGCAGGTCGATTTAAGGGGATGAGCTCCCTGCTTCTGCAGCGCCGACTTGACAAAACTCTATTTGTACGGGCCAAATCGGCTAAAAGCCTGCAGTCGAGCCGCTGGGAAGTATATGGGAGGCGGTTAAGAGTTGCCTCCAACAAATAAGCTCCTCCCACTCCTCCGAGGGAGACTGGCAAGATATACATTGGGTATCGAAATGCCAAAAACCGTAACAAAAATCGGGCCTCATTCCTCTGACCCCGAAAGATCCCCTGATACGGCAGCGCCAGGTAAGACGAGTACGGAGAGGCTGCTAAAATCTCAGAGCCAAACTAGGCTGCAAGATCGAAATTGGCTAAAATGACGATCAGTACCTTAAATGCAAGAGCACTTGCTCACGAATCCGCTGTAGAAGATCTATTAACTCAATAATGAAGGATAGGGTACGACGTCATTGCCCTGGATGAGACGAGAAGGCACCATCCTTTTCACGTCGTTTATGACACCGAAGAAGAACTGATTCTCGGAACATACGATAGCAGAGGTGTCAGCGGCGTTGGCGACCTCATCAAATCGAATTTGACCATAAACATCGATTCGTTTGAGCAGCAACAAACGACACAGATATAGGAAAAAAATCAAGTAAATTAAGTACTAAGCCTTTTTGATAGGTAATGCCATAATGAAGTAAAATCCGTTGGAGACTGCTAAGCGAAATCGGCAAGATGAAACTGCCGAAATCTTTTGGAGGAATTCAGAGTGTCATGAAGAGCATAAAGGCTCATATCTGTCAATTTCAAACGGATTTTACATAAGTGCTGCATTCGTTGGCTTCTTGTTTACAGAACTTTATCCATTTCAAACATTCATAGTTTTGCTTCCAGCAAGCAGTTTGCGTTGTCTGGTAGATCATATAGAAATGGTAAACATTTCATTCACGTACTAAAACTATTGGGATTTCATGTAAAATTATCGAAGCTATTCTACGGCACATTTTGGGCACTAAGGCATAAAGATCAATAGAATAGTACGATGTTGTAAGTCGATGAAAATCTGGATGTAAAAATTTATTCCTTTGTCCAGAGGAGACTCACAAAATTTTTACATAAACTATTACGTTACGTGTTGGTAAAAATAGGGAAAACACAAAATTCATTCTAAAAACTATCCCCGCCATTACCTGGTTTTTCAATGAAAGCAAATGTTTGAATAAAGGAGCCTCTTGCAGTTACTACCTTGGATGACAGACAACCGCATTGCGTCGTCGTCGGCGGCACGGTGACTTTCACGTGCCACGCACCAGATACTACTCCAAAAAATTTGCGAACCAGCGACAGAGCCAGCAATATTGAAATTATTCTTGCCAGACACTTTCGTCAATCTCAAGAATTCTTACGGTTTGAAATACTTCGTTTTTTAATGCAGATTTGTTACGGAAAAAATCTCTGCAGGCCTCTAATATCGCCATGGCGAATTGATCAAGAGAGATGTGGAAACGTGTCGTGAGCAAAGTCGTTCGAACAATGGCATCCAGTCCGTTTCTATCTCACTTCTCTTCGGCATATGCAACAGTAAGCTAAGATGAGTAATGAACGGCGAGATATTTGGAATAAACGATACAGTCATCGGATTTTTTTTCCTGCTTGAATGCTAAATGAGTATAATTGTGTAGGCGAATAATGATAGCTTTAGTTTAATCGTGTGTGCTATTCTTGCCAGTTGGTGAAATTTTTTTTTACCCCTAAAAAAGTCTATAAAATATTTTTACGTTCATAACCGTTAGACGACATAGGGAGAGTAATAGTTTAATGTCCTGAATTCCCAGTCAGTTTCACCATCTTGCAAAAAAACTACATCACAGCTATGGTTCACACTAGGACAAAATACGATTGTGAGTCGTAGCCTTTCGGAAATGTCCAGTAATTGTGCTAACTGACGGACATAGTTAATGGTATAATAGTCTTTCTTGCACGTGTTTTTGGACCTATTAAGATTTTTTTAATATGCGCGGAATTTCACTCAGGGCCACTCTCTTGTGCATTGATCACACTTCAGGGGCGTGGTGGTGTTTTGAAGCTCACGTGTTTGATTCAAGTCAAGCGTGGTCGTGGCCACTTTTCTATAATGTTGTCAGATCTCGTAGTACTACTCATCTCTACGAGACTAACTCGTTTTCGCCATACTGTAGCTGGAATTTCTGACAGAACTTCTAATCTAATGCCGAACTTCGAAGACTACCCAAAGAGATTTTCGTGGTCGATCAAGTCGAGCAGGATATTTTTGGATTGAGAACTTTTGTTTTTCGGTTACTTACTCAATTATGTTTTTCACGACTTTTTTATTTGCTGCTTTCTTGATTCCATCACCTACATGATTCTTGATGAAGTCGAACGTATCCATTGAGGATTGATCATCGACAAGCTTCATCTCATTATTATATTATATTTTTGGAAGCTCTTCTACATCACCCCTGAGCGGTCGCTTGACTTTTCATTCCTACCTGCATTCTTTGATTTCGGGTTTAACACCATCGCCAAATCAGTGGGTACAAGCTCCGACCAAGGATCTGCCGCAGAAGCTAATTCCCTGGAATGAGCATCATGATGACCTGAAATAGCTTTTGCAAGGTGAAGTCAGGAATCCAAGGAAGCCAATCTGCAGAACCAGCAATAGACCAGCTTCAATATTAAGCACACTGGGTTCTCGCTTCTATGGCGTGAGGAGGTGAGGCGGCCAGTGAGAGGCTAGAAATCACGGGATACAAAGGACGTCTTTGGAATTGGATCTGCTCAACACTGAAACGACGCGCCATGGAGATTTTTTATGTTCCGCACATACAATGCAAGATAACTGTCCATTGATGCCGACCTTCAAGCATTTCTTCGTGGCGCAGATCATGTGAC